CAATGTCTTCTGCCTCGCTGGGGCAAAGAGAAGAGGAGCGGATAAGGGAGGAGATTCGCCAACGTGCGGTCCCTCGCCCAATGTCGGCTGCCTCGCTGGAGCTGGGGCAAAGAGGAGCGGATAAGGGAGGAGATTAGCACACACGGTGGCGCTGCCGGCGCCGAGGATAGCAAGAGAAGGTGCAGTTAGATCTGATCATCTGGTTTGCTATTTCTCTAAGGCCAACGTGCGGTCCCTCGCCCAATGTCTTCTGCCTCTCTCTCAATCTCACTATTTTGGCCGCCGTGATAGGCGCCGCCAACAGCAGCAGCTACCTGGTTGATCCTGCCAGTAGTCATATGCTTGTCTCAAAGATTAAGCCATGCATGTGTAAGTACAAGCCGATTTAAGGCGAAACCGCGAATGGCTCATTAAATCAGCTATGTTTCATTGGATCTGTAAACCCACTTACTTGGATAACTGTGGCAATTCTAGAGCTAATACATGCAATTGGTCTCTGACCGCAAGGGAAGAGCGCTTTTATTAGTTCAAAACTGGTCGGGCCCCAGTCCGTAACCCACCTGTGGTGAATCTGAATAACTTCGGGCTGAGCGCACGGTCTCCGCACCGGCGCCGCTTCTTTCAAGTGTCTGCCTTATCAGCTTTCGATTGTAGGTTATGCGCCTACAATGGCTATAACAGGTAACGGGGAATCAGGGTTCGATTCCGGAGAGGGAGCCTGAGAAACGGCTACCACATCTAAGGAAGGCAGCAGGCACGCAAATTACCCACTCCCGGCACGGGGAGGTAGTGACGAAAAATAACGATGTGGAGTCTCATCGAGGCCTCGCAATCGGAATGAGTACTGAAATCCTTTAACGAGTATCCATTGGAGGGCAAGTCTGGTGCCAGCAGCCGCGAGCGTTAGCTCGTAAGCGTACTTCAAAGTTGTTGCGGTTAAAAAGCTCGTGAATTTGGATCACCTCCGAAGTTCCGGACTGACGGGGTGCACCGCCAGTGTTTACTGTCGCGCTCCGAACAGCCGCGCAGCTCCGCACAGGATGCTCTTTGTCGAGTGTCGAGTGGCGGAGAGTTTACTTTGAAAAAAATTAGAGTGCTCAGAGCAGGCTGTTTGAATGGCGAAGAATGGTGATGCATGGAATAATGGAATAGGACCTCGGTTCCTGTTTGTTTGGTTTCGGAACCAGAGGTAATGACCCCTAATCGGAACAGGCAGGGGCATTTGTGGGCGCTAAGGGCGAAATTCTTGGACCGTCGCAAGACGAACTTCTGCGAAAAGCATTTGCCAAGGATGTTTTCATTAATCCAAGAACGAAAGTTAGAGGTTCGAAGGCGATCAGATGCGCTGGTTCTAACCATACTTGATGCCAACCTGGCGATCCGCCGGCGTTATTCCACATGACCCGGCAGGCGGCTACCAGGAAACCAAGTCTTTGGGTTCCGGAGAATATATCAGTTGCAAAAGCTGAAACCCAAAGGAATTGACGGAAGGTACCACCGGAATTTGGTACTGCAACTAGTTGACTCAACACAGGGAAACCTCACCAGAGGCCCCAGACACCGGAAGGATTGACAGATTGAGAGCTCTTTCTCGATTCGGTGGGTGGTGGTGCATGGCCGTTCTTAGTTGGTGGAGCGATTTGTCTGGTTAATTCCGATAACGAACGAGACTCTGGCCTACTAAGTAGTCGACGGATCTCCAGAAAATGGTGTCAGTTCGCAACTTCTTCTTAGAGGGATAAGCGGCAATTCTAGCCGCACGAGATTGAGCAATAACAGGTCTGTGATGCCCTTAGATGTTCTGGGCCGCACGCGCCCTGAAGGATCGGGTTTTTCTCCCCCCTCCGAGAAGGGCGGGTAACCGTTCAAAGCCTTTCTTGATAGGGATTAGAGGGCTTGCAATTGTTTCCCCGCAGACGAAAGATTCCCAGTAAGTGCAAGTCATCGCTTGCGCTGACTAAATCCCTGCCCTTTGTACACACCGCCCGTCGCTACTACCGATTGAATGATTTAGTGAGGCCTTCGGACTGGCGCTCTTGGATTGTCGGCCCCGTTGCCCGCGAGGGTTTTCTGGGGTCGTCGCCTCGAGCTGACGGAAAGATGTCCAAACTTGATCATTTAGAGGAAGAAAAAGTCGTAACAAGGTTTCCGTAGGTGAACCTGCGGAAGGATCATTAACAGAGAGAAAGAGAATGGGGCGCTCTTAAAACTACTGCTACTCTCCTGATTTGGGCGGTCTCGGGCTCTGCTCTAGCAACTCCAGCAGCGAAAGAGGACAATCCCGGCCCCCGCACCAAAAATAGGTACCACCACGCTGTAGGTGGACCACACTCGGGCGAGAGCGCGAAGACCGGAGGGGGACGGACGGGGCTTTGGACGGCTGCCTGTCCGTTCCTTACTACCGGCGAATAAGCCTCTTGACCCAAAAAGAGTGAAATTCAAGTGTCAAAAAACAAGCCGTCCGGCCAAACCCAAACCACAAACTTGGGCTATGTCTGTC